ATTTTGTCCTGTTTCCCTTCATGTCTCAAGGCCACACCATCCCCCTCCTCCACCTCTCCGGCATCCTCTTTCACCGCTGCATCTCCGTCACCATCCTCACCACCCCTGCCAACTACGCCGCCGTTAGATCCACCGTCTCCAACGACTCCATCTCCGTTATCGATATCCCGTTCCCGGAAGATATCGTCGCTGCCCCTCCCGGTGTACAGGTCACCGGTAAACTACAATCCATGTCGTCGTTCATTAATTTCGTGGAAGCAACAGAAAAACTCCAGCCTCGGTTTGAAGAAGTCGTTCGCAGTCTACCGCCGGTCAGCTGCATAATCTCCGACGGGTTTTTCAGTTGGACTCAAGACTCTGCAGATAAGCTCGGGATTCCCCGTTTGGTTTTCTATGGGAACAACATTTTCTCCATGACCATGGACCACATCATGACCCAGTTCAAACCACATGCAACGGTTAACTCCGATGACGAGCCGTTTCCAGTCCCGGACTTCCCTCGGTTCAAGTTGACGGTGAACGACTTCCAACCTCCATTTAGCGAGGTCGACCCCAAAGGTCCGGAGCACGATTTTCACGTCAAGCAGCAGGAGGCTAATGCCAAGAGTCATGGCATGGTGGTTAACAGCTTCTACGAACTGGAACCAGAGTTTATCGATTACTGGAACCGAAACGTCGGTCCCAAGGCTTGGTGTATCGGACCTTTCTGCATAGCCAAACCAACCGCACCGAAACAGATGGTGGAAAAGCCGACATGGGTCGAGTGGCTCGACGAAAAGCTCCTCGAGAACAAGCCAGTGATATATGTGTCGTTTGGCACACAGGCGGAGGTGTCACCGGAGCAATTACTTGAGCTGGCGGTTGGTTTGGAGAAGTCGAACGTAAACTTCATGTGGGTACTGAAATGGAAGCAGTTTGAGTTGATAGGAGGTGAAGGGTTTGAAGAGAGGATGAAGGGGAGAGGGAAGATGGTGAATGAATGGGTGGACCAGGTGGAGGTTCTGAATCATGAAAGTGTGTGTGGGTTTCTGAGTCATTGCGGGTGGAACTCGGTGTTGGAGAGCATTTGTGCAGGTGTCGCGGTGTTGGCAATGCCGTTGATGGCGGAGCAACACCTGAATGCTCGAATGGTGGTGGAGGAGATTGGGATGGGATTGAGATTATGGGCAAAGGAGAAGGTGGCGCGTGGGTTAGTTGGGGCGGAGGAGGTGGAGAAGATGGTGGTGGAGTTGATGGAAGGGAAAGAGGGGAGAAGGGTGAAGGAGAGGGTGATGGAAGTGAAAGAGGGTGCATATGATGCAATGAAGGAAGGTGGGTCGTCATGGCGGACGTTGGAGTCGTTGATCGATCATGTCTGTGGAGATATGCATCCGTTAGTTTAGTAGTTATCATCCGCGGACGTTGTATATCAACTTTTATTCCAAATAAGTTAGGGTAAATCGTATAAAAATGCTTCTTTGTTTCAAATTCTATTTTAAAGAACATACTTTTAGATATATATATATTAAGAATCTATAACAAAATTTATAATAGGTTAGTGTCTCAATGATTTGAGCTTGGGCTCCAATGGTCAAAAGTGTCCGGAGGTCCCAGGTTCAATTTCAAGAAGGAATAAAAATCCTCTTGTAGCCACGGAGGTTCAAATAATGTAACTTCAGGCTACCCGCAAAGCAGGTGATCGTCCTGGAACTAATCGGCTTGTATAACAGTTGGATATCCTGGTTAATCAAAACAAAGTAACGAGTTATTATATCGACGATATGTCGATATTTTATATTTTTAAGAAAGGTGTTGTTGTGGCTTTTGTTATTATTATTATAATCGAGAATATATGTAGGGGTAAATATGGTACGATATCATATATATATATTTTTAATATTGTGTATCAACCAATTATAATTAATACCGATTCTTTAGTCTTACGTCTCTTATCTCTATGAGGTCTTCTTCCACTAGATACACCATGTATTAACCAACTCTACTTACTACCAACTCAATCGGTACCAACTTTTTTTTGATTGGTACATGTTGATACGGTTTTCAACCAACATCTCAAAAGTTGGCGTTACAAATTCGTTAACACGGTATGGTAGAGGTGTGGATCGCGTGATCATGTGGCCGTTGAACGGTGGAAGTGTGGATTGTGGAGGCGTGCGTTGAGAGGAGGAGACGAGGAGTTACTGAGTAATAAGTTAGGATTGCTACTAGCAGGCATGGAAGAGTATGGAGCTATTTACCCAAATGCTTACTCGGTAAGCACTTACCGATAGAAATCAACATTATAATTTATTTTTATCTGATAAAATTGTAGTACATCAAAACGATATTCTATGCAACAATTTACCCGGTAAATGCTTACCCGGGTAAGAGTCGTCACCCTCACTTACCGGGTAAGAGTCTCAATCCTTATCATCACTCTTACCATGTAAGATTCTTGGTTCTTGTCATGTTTATCCGATGAGGGAAAATGCCCGATAAGCATTTACCGGGTAAGAGTTTATAAGTAACAACCCCTGAGTAATGTACTAAACAATAAACAATAAATGTTAAATTGATAAATTCTCTAAAAGAATAGATGCGTTAATAATTAAAAATAGTTCACTTAATTGACTTTTATTTAATAAATAATTTTATATATATATATATATATATATATATATATATACACACACATACATATATAAAGAGAGAGATTCGAACGAGAACATCCTTGTTTTAAAAGAATGCGAGAACATTTATAGGACTCCAAAAAGCTATTAATCAATAATTAAAATTAAAAGAAAATAAAGTAATTAATTAAGGATAATCATGTGATTTCATATTTTTCTGTAATCTTTGTGACTATCTTTATCTCTAAAATTATATACAAAAAATATACTCGTTGATATCAAATCATTATCACAATAAAATCACATAATGAACAGGCAGATTGTAAACGTGATCATCATTGGTTTTCGATTATCAGAGCATTATCATAAAGTTATTACAACAAAATCACATAATTTATTAGATGATTATCACAGCATTATCATAACGTTTTTTGTGAACATACATACTTTGTAGTTTGTCGATGGATGATGGGAATGACGGTTTTATATTGTTGTAGAAATTTACAGTGTTCGAATTTGTGGTGGTTGGTGGTGGTGCTTACGATGGCGATGGTCAACAGTCGAACAGAGGGTCGTTAGCAATAGTGAAGAAGAATAGAAGAAGTTGACAAATTAAAAAAAAATGTATTTAAATAATAATAATAATAATGGTAAAGAAAATCAGCATCAATTTGGTTGCCATTAAATCAAAACTTAATAACTAATTTAGTTAAATGACACGTCACAATTTACAAATATTCGAATTTTACCCAAACTACAAAGTAAAGTCGTATACCAACCGGATGGCGTAATTCATATGGTTTAATGGTCCTTATGGAAATCAGAATAAAATAACAAAAGACAAACAATAAATGTCTTTATTTTTTACGGAATTTTTTAATAGACTTAAAGACTGTTTGGCAGTTATTGAATGGTTTGGTATAAAATGATTACGTGACTCTCATGATATAATGCAAAATGAAATATAATTGTCTGGTAATTATTTTCAACGAAATTAAGGGTCTGAATGGTTAAGGAAAACTCATGATACAAAATCATTCATGGGGTTTTAGAACCATTATGAGACAAACCTTTTTTTACTAAACAAGATTCATCTCTTAAAGATTCAGAGACTGCTTCTTAATAGAACTATTAAGAAGTAAACAAACAACCTCTTAGTGATTAAGAACCACTTTAAGAGCAAAATACAAACAATAAGAACGATTTTTAGACTTGTCAAAATTCAGATCTTACTTACAAAGTTTTCAATAAAACTCAGGGATCAAAGTCTATTAAAACTCAATGGGTTGGGGATCTAATCTAAGACCAGTCATCCTAGGCATGGCAACGGGGCAGGGATGGGATGAGTTTTCTAATCCCCGACCCCGGTCCCCGATGGGTACGTCCCTGGTTTATTTTCTGGTCAAACTCTTATTCTCGTCCTCAGTCAAGACCTGATTTTAGAAAATAAATTATATATATATATATATATATATATATATACCGGGTATGGGATGGGACGGGTCGGGGGATACGCTACCCAGCCCGATTTGAGTCTACCGGGAAATCCCCATCCCTGTTTGGGTCGGGTGAGCCGAGTTTCTTACTAGATCGGAGCAAATTACCATCCCTAAATCATCCATTTACCAACTTAGCTACACGTCAGAGACGTTTATAAATGAAAATAACAATTTTCAACAAACTCCAAAAACGTAATTTACTTTTTTTTTTCTATTAAGCACGTCTTTAAATGGGGTTTTCCCATTTGAAGCAAAAAAGCTTGTTTGTAAATTTCTGTCTGAATCCGTCACAATTACTAAATTATCCCAACGGTTATCTATACTATATTATAAAGCATTTGGCTAAAACTCTTAAAAACTCTTAAACTCTTAAAAACTCTTAAACCCGTTCATCCTTATCCGATTTCTTCCCATATCTGAATTCGTGTAACTAACTGCAGATAAACACAATCAAATACAGGATAAACATCT